GTGTTCTGAATTTCTTCATGGAGAAATACCATCATTCAGTTTCTGCAGTGCTTCCCAACTGTATTGCAGTAGCATATATGCTACTGTAATGCACATTCCTCTTGTCATACCCAGATAGAGCTCTGGGAAATAGCCAGCATGCATCAAAGCAATCACAGTCTTAATTTCTTAATAACCTAAGTGTAACTTTGCACCTCCACGACATTTCTGCAGTTTGTCTTAACACTGTAGTGCAGGAGAAAGTTAAAATAAGACCTAGATTCAATATTAATGAAGCCAAATGTTAGAATTGGCAAGGAAATGGATAACTTAGAGAGGAATAGGTAAGACTTTATCCCCTGCCATGCATGATTTGTGGTGTTCTGACAAAGCAGCTGGCATCTTGCCAAGCAATTGAAATATTTTTACATGATGGCTTTGAACCTCTTGTTAACAAAATCACGATTCCAATGAAGCAGCAATCTAATAAAATAGTCACTTCCAAGGTATGTTTGCGTAAGAATACTGGTTTAATTTAGAGTGAGGTTTGACATGGGGAAGCCAGGAAGAGGTTTCTTTTATGAATCTGTTCTGGCCCTTAATACAGGCGCCATGTGAGACAGTAAATTATTCTTGCTGTAAACCTTCACCACACTTCAGCTGAACACTGGAGGCTGAGTCTGGTATCTACTCGTTCGTGGACAATTTTATTTTCTTCTATCAGATACTATCTTAGATTGTTAATTACCTCAGTTCCAAGTGAAAGCTGGGCTTTGCAGCCGTAGGTGATTCTTTTTGATGAAAAATAAATCCCTAAGGTGAAAATCCCTAAGGTATTTGCGTTGGAGAAATCAATAGAGAAACTTGAAAACTTGGTTTTGAATGCAAGAAAAAAGGCTAAATGTCCATGTGGAATATGAGAATATGGAATTTATTTCCCCCATAGATATATTTTCTTACCATTAATAAGTATAAATGTACATTTAATTTCTAGAAAAGTAATGTAATCTACACGATGGAGGAACTGGAAGCAATGTTAGGTAAGTCCAGGTGCATCTGTTGCGCAGCAGGAACGGCTGCC